GTGCGCGCCCGTCCTTTCCCCCCCCACCGCCAGCCAGTAACAGGCAAAGCTTCCTGAAGAACCAGGGCCAGCCCCTGCCCTGGGCTGTTTGCATGTTGTTGACTCATTTGGGAACTGTCTTGGTGTCTGAGGCTGGGGTTGACCTTCAGGTTACAGCAGGAGGAGGGTGGCTCTTCTCCCTCCCAACAATCCCAGACGTTTTGGAGACGACACATCGCAGGATGGAGATGCCCCATCCCTGGCAGTGTTCAAGGCCAGCTTGGACACAGGGGCTTGGAGCAACCTGCTCTAGTGGAAGGTGTCCCTGCCCATGGCAGGGGTTGGAGCTGGAGGAGCTTTAAGGTCCCTTCCAACTCAAATCGTTCCATGATTCTATGACTCTGGTTCTCCTCAATGGAGAACCCAAACAGCTGGTTCTCTACGAGTCAGGTAGGAACATTTCTAGCAGTCTAGTTTGCAAAGCCAAGCTTGGGAGAGCAACTTTAGACTCTACCAGGGACAATATTTAGGCTGTGAACCTGCTGCTGGGGATTAATGAATTGCACACAGCCACAGAATGAGCAGGAAGACTGGAATTTGGGAACAAAGAGTAATCAAATGTGACCTTTTTCTGGCACTCTCGTCTTTGAGGAGATTGTGGGTGTAGCTCTTGTGCTCCAGCACCAGGATTGTTTCCTGCACCACTTGGTTCCCTGTAATTTACACCTGAGAGCAGCAGCAAAGTGTGTTTTGCCTCTTGAGAAGGGCTCGGGGACCCAGCGCCCATCCCCTCTGCGTCTGGCTCTTCTCCCCTCCCAGCTGGAACCCATCACACTCGAGTCGCTTTTCTCAGCTGCAGCATCTTAAAATAGCTGCTCTGGTTTCTTTTAAAAATAGTCCCTGTTCTGCTTGTCATTACCTGCTAAAAACACTTCCCCGGGTCCTACTGGGACAGCAGAGGAGAGGTTTGGTGCATCAGCCTTTTTGGACAGGGTGACAGTGCTCCCGTGGCCACGTGCTTTGCCCTTGAGCTGCCCCCACTTCCTACATCCATGGGTTTGGGGTGGTGTATTTGGGGTTTAATTTGAAAGGGTGACTGCAGAGGTGCAGGAATCTGCCTGGTGCTGGTGGTGGCAGCGGGAAGGAGGATGCTCGGCTGCCTCAGCCTGGCTGGAGAGGGTTTCACTGTTCTGGGAAGCAGCTCAGCACTGAAGACATCAGTGACACAGCTGCTGAGGCAGGCAGGGTGGTTTTGCAGCAGACTGTGACCTGGTTCCTCACCTCAGCTCAAAGAGATCCAATTCTTTGATAGCTGCTCTTGCAAAGAGAGTCTGCACTGACAGTGCCCCATCTACACTGGTGGTGGTTGGTGCCTTCACTCAGACAGAGCTGCTAAAGAGAAAGGCTGCAACTGCAGACCCCAGGCTGCCGAAGATGCCCAGACCCTGAGGAGAAGGACTTGGGGTGCTGGGTGATGATGATAAGCTCCCCATGAACCAGCTTCGATGTGAGCATGAGCCCAGAACCCCGCCATGTGCTGGGCTGCACCCCCAGACCGTGAGCAGCAGCTCAGGGAGGGGATCCTCTGCTCCACTTGGAGCACTGTGTGTAATTTGGGGAACAGCACAAGAGGGACGTGGAGCTGCTGGAGCGAGGCCAGAGGAGGCCCCGGAGCTGCTGCGAGGGCTGGAGCAGCTCTGCTCTGGAGCCAGGCTGAGAGAGCTGGGCTGGGGCAGCCTGGAGCAGAGAAGGCTCCTCAAGGGGACACCTTAGAGCAGCTCCAGTGCCTAAAGGGGCGCCAGGAAACCTGGAGAGGAGCTTTGGACAAGGGATGTAGGGACAGGACAAGGGGAATGGCTTGAACCTGCCAGAGGCGAGATTGTGATGAGCTCTTGGTTAGAAGCTCTTCCCTGTGAGGGTGCTGAGGCGCTGGCACAGGGTGCCCAGAGAAGCTGTGGCTGCCCCATCCCTGGCAGTGTTCAAGGCCAGGTTGGACACAGGGGCTTGGAGCAACCTGCTCTAGTGGAAGGTGTCCCTGCCCGTGGTGGGGTTGGAGCTGGAGGAGCTTTGAGGTCTCTTCCAGCACAAACCACTCTGGGGTTCTGTGCTCCCAGCTGGTTAAGAAGTGATGTGGTGGCCAAGGGCACAGGTTCCTGACAGAGCAGCAGCAGGTTCAGAGGTGAGCTCAGCACTTGGAAAACCTTTGGGATGTGTGGCCCTTTCTGAGCACAGTGAATCGCGATGGCCCAGCCCGAGAGCTCACATCCTGCTGCTCGGGAGGTCCCTGGCCCTTGTGGAGCCTTTCGAACCTCCAACAGCCATCCAGAAAGTCTGTCAATACTGTTTTGAGGTTCACTTCCTTCTGCAGCCCCAAGGAGCGACTGTTAATTCACACAGCAAAGCCTTTAGGCTTTAATCATGCTGCTTGGCAAAACCAGGGTTCAGTGTTTACTGCTGCTGGTGAGTACCCCAGTGATCTTCCATGAGCCTCTCTGGGTGCAAGGGGATTGGGATTCCTTCTCCCTCCTTCCCTCCTTGGCGGGGGGAAGTTAGGAGGGATTTGGAGGTAATTACTGCTTTGATTCCCTGCTGAAGCACTAATTTCAAGGGCTCTGTTGGAAAGTAGCAATTTCCTGGCAGTGAGTGACAGAAGTTTTGCCACACATGAGACGTGCTTTCAGGCTCCTACTAATTACACTGACACAAATTGGCAGGAGACGTTTTCTTCCCAGGCTCCCAGCTCTAATTTTGCCTCTTTCCTCCTATTCCTCTTCCTTTTTTAAAGATGGAGTGTTAAAGATGGAGTTTTTTAAAGGTGGAGCCTCTGTGTTGTCTCACTTCAATACCAATGGTGCAGAGTTCAGTGCTTGTGGTTCCGCAGTGGCTTCTGACCTCCCCCTTCTCTTTCCTTACCCAGGTTCATACCCTTCACCCAAGGCTGGAGCCACACTCGTGGTCTACAAGGACTTGCTGGTGCTTTTTGGTGGGTGGACACGGCCGAGCCCTTACCCTCTGCACCAGCCAGAGAGGTTCTTCGATGAAATCCATACCTACTCACCCTCCAAAAACTGGTAAGAGCACATCTGGATTCAAAGCTCAGCCTTTGATCCTTTCCAAATGTAATTGAGCTGAAGGAATGCTGGAGGGCATCTCTCCGAGCCCGCGTGGGAAGCTCGGCGTGGTCCTGCTCTCCTCAGCGTGTCTCATTCCAGAGTGGCTGCCAGCCTTTTATTGGAACAGAAGGGAATAAAAAGCCAAAAACTGCAGGAGCGCACCGGAGCCGTGGGTATGGGCTGTCTGGCACCTCTTGGGTGGTGGTTGCTTCCATATGGCTCTTGACTTGCACCTAAAACATGCTGAACTCCCTGAGTGTTCCCAGCCAGCCAGGTGGGAATCGAGATTGAGGTCAGCTCTGGGCAAGAACACAGGAGGGATGTGGAGCTGCTGGAGCGAGGCCAGAGGAGGCCCTGGAGCTGCTGCGAGGGCTGGAGCAGCTCTGCTCTGGAGCCAGGCTGAGAGAGCTGGGCTGGGGCAGCTGGAGAAGAGAAGGCTCCTCAAGGGGACACCTTAGAGCAGCTCCAGTGCCTAAAGGGGCTCCAGGAAACCTGGAGAGGGGCTTTGGACAAGGGATGGAGGGACAGGCCAAGGGGAATGGCTTGAACCTGCCAGAGGGGAGATTGAGATGAGCTCTTGGGCAGAAGCTCTTCCCTGTGAGGGTGCTGAGGCGCTGGCACAGGGTGCCCAGAGAAGCTGTGGCTGCCCCATCCCTGGCAGTGTTCAAGGCCAGGTTGGACACAGGGGCTTGGAGCAACCTGCTCTAGTGGAAGGTGTCCCTGCCCATGGCAGGGGTTGGAACTGGGGGAGCTTTGAGGTTCCTTCAACCCAAACCACCCCGTGACTCTGTGTGTTTGAAACACTTCATCGATTTGGCTGTGAGCAGTGAGGTCGTTCTGAGGAAAGGAGGAGATAAAGCCCCAACTCCTGGAGGTTTTGGCTTTTAGCAATGGTCCTGCAGCCTCCAAGGTACCTGCACCAGGTTAGGCATCTCTCTGCCTTCACAGCTCCTGCTCTAAAGCTTCCAGCAGTGACCACAGGGATGGCAGGAATTTTCCTTTCCCTGTAAGCACCGTTTGGCTGGTTTCAGACCAGCCTTTCCCACTGGTGCTGTGTGAGAAAGGAGCAAACACTGTATCAAAGCAGTGATGGTTCCTGCTCCTCTTCACTGAGAACTTCTCATCATCAAAAGTGTCCATTATGCAGTGCAGAGGCACCAGAACACTGTAATTAAACTGTGTTGGAAATCGTTCGGGGTGAACTTTAATTGAAAGGGGCGATATTTCCCGCATGGCCCTGGGGCTTCGTCCTGCTTCAGAAATGGTTATAGCACATCAGGGCTTCTAATGAGTTTCATTAGGATTTGGGTCTTTGGAGGTTTTCCCTGAGGTTTTTCCCCTGTAACATGTTCTTGAGGACTTTTTGGCATTCATAGAATCGTAGAATCAACCAGGTTGGAAAAGACCTTTAAGCTCATCGAGTCCAACTCTTCCCCAGCACTGCCAAGGCCACCATGAACCCATGTCACTGAGGGCCTCATCTACATGGTTTTTGAGCACTTCCAAGGATGGTGATTCCACCAATTCCCTGGGAAGCCTGTTCCATCCAGCACTTTCCTTTCCAAACCAGTGGTGAATGGCTTCC